CGACTTGATTGCACTCGCCAACGATGTCCGTGCCCGAATCCAGAACCTCACCCTCGCAGTCTAACACAACTTTAACCAATTGCTCATAGACAATTGCTGAAATGTAAACATATTTGTAAAATTACATAAAATACTGTACGACGTAACAACTTCAAAAATTTACACATCATTCGAGTCGTTCGTTTAAATATGTTGCCGGGAGTTGAAAAAAAAGTTTGCTCCGAAGTGGAAGAGTAAGCGAAATTTTCGAATTTTGAGGTAAACTTCCACCGACACAAAACTGCTCGCGCATTACAGTTTGCTTCGAACAAGCGAGACGTGATTTCATCGCATACCAACAACACGATGTGACACCAGCACCAAAAACCCCATCGGAGTGGGATTTTATAAATTTTTGAGTGTGACCCACTACAATTCTTGGCGGGGCAATGGGAATTAAAACCCATAGTCTTCCAGTTGCACTGGTAGCGCTACCCAAGCACTGTCAGAGTCGCGGCAAAGAGGCGTGGGGTCTTCCTGTAACTTACCCTCATGAGATCGCATCTCATACACTAGTCCCGAATCAAGACCCCGTTCATCAATATGGACAACTATTCGAATCTCGTAAATAAAGGAGAGAACGAGAAAATCCAAGGGTGTGATGCCACAGTGCTAGGGCAAGCCTAGAGAGAGGGTCAGCGACGTAAATGCTTGGTTTAGTCGGAGGCATGTGACTTTAGGCTTAAGTCGGAGGTGAAGGACTAGTGTAAATTATAGCACAATGCGTTAACATTAAAAACTTGGCGGAAAGTAAGGTCAAAAGCTCACCTCCACGAATTCTTTGGCACAAATTTTCAGAAAATTCACGCATTCGCGCTTGACCTTGGGGGCATAGGCGTCGCAGCCGTACCTCTACAAAGTCCAGACTTATTAATTGTAACCAAGGCCCGAAGGGAGAGATCAAAGAACACTCATGCTTACGAAGGTCGAAAATGCACGAAACAAAGAGTTCGCAGGAGGCATGAAGTAGAGGAAGTAAGGAGAATCCCGCCGATTCTGCTTCCGGACATGAATGTCTTTGTTGCGATAGCTGAATAACGGCGAGCCTTCACACGACATGATGGGTGTTTCACGATGAATTTCCTTCCGCACCAATTAACACGGAATCCTCGAATCTGAACATAAAACGCAGAACAGGAGTGAGATGAATAACTTTGAGAATATTAGCATATTGAACGGGATCCCCTTCGGCGAAGGGAGGGCAGCTTATCGTCGAAGAAACACACGCTGGAGGACAACAAGGCCAGAAAAAGACGCAGGACTAAATGCACGAGGTTGAGAATAAATCCCAGAATTATGGATTCAAGAAAAAAAATTCACGGAGATAGGATGATGCCTGTCCATCTACTTGTTCACGCGATTTCGCATCCGATTAGGAAGGGTCGTGCACGTCGAAAAATCGCGAAACAGGTATTGCCGAAGCCACGGAACTGATATAATATGACCGGTTTTCAACTTCAAAACTGCACTAAATAATCATTTACAATATTCACAACGGGCACAAGAGAAACGCCGAGTGCCTCATTCAATCAACCCCGACTCTTGAGTTGCAAATTTCACGAATATCGGCCGATCCAACGCGATCCGCGAATACTGTACGATTGAAGAACACCATTTGCTCATCAACCTGCAATCGCAGTTCTCAGTCAGGTAGAGCATATATGTATGGATACACGAGGATGACAAATTGCTCACGCTGAGGAAATTTACACTTGTATGAACTTCTGAACGGACCTTTGTGCCGTTACGAACACAATTTGAACACGCATCTCGTTATAAACGCATGCAAAACAGAACCCATCCAATCGCATGTAACGATCATGAACAGCAT